TGAACGGCTAAAATGCAGCAGAAATGCTGTGGTTTCACTTAAAAAAGATAAAGAGGGCCTTAGAGTGAAAATGGGCATCCACTTGAACAAATGGCACATCCATCCAGCCATCCATCCATCCCAAGCCCGATCGAAGCAGATGGCTGCTTGTCCTGAGCCTGGTTCTGCTAAAGGGTTCTTCCTCATGAGGGAGTTTTTCCTTTCCACTGTCGCCTTCGTGCTTGCTCAAGATGAGAGTTCTGCAATGGAGTTAAACTCAAAGCAGTCTGCTTCTCAGATAAATAATGTTAAATTATTATTTTTATATATGAATGTTTCTGTTCAGTTCCCTGAGACAACTTCTGTTGTGACTTGGCGCTAGGGGTTGAACGAGTATATAATTTTTAAACTCGACATTAACATAATAAAACCCGAGTAGAACTCGAGTATTTGATGACATCATAGATCTCAAGATACAAAAATAAATAAATAAATAAAACCGCAAAAAAAGGTAATTATTTACAAAAAAAAGACCAACAAAACATTGGGAGAGTATATTATGCTCCTACCATTTATCATACTGCAAATAAGTCACAGGATAAACTAAACTATTAGTTATTATTATTAAACTGCAAATGTAAAGAAAATGCAGCACGTCAAAAACGAAACTTAATCGAAACTGGTTCGGTGGATTGGACCTGGTGTTACACCATACTCTGTGACCTGCAACAGTGCAACACCGCCCCCTACGGTCATACGGTGGTCACATAATATAACGTCAGTACGGATACTTGACATAACATTTTTAACCTCGATAGATGTCCTAGCAATCGATGTGTAGATTACTCAAGTACTCTGTTAATGCCCTAATCCACAATCTCATTCTTTCAGTCACAAACCAGAGTTTGTGGCCATAGGTGAGGGTAGAAACAGACTTACCGCTAACGGAAAGCTTTGCCTTACAGCTTAGCTCCCTCTTCACCACAATGGACCAGCACAGAGTCTGCAATACTACAGACACTGCACTGATTCAACTGTCAACCTCACGCTCCGTTCTTCCCTCACTCGTGAACAAAACCCCAAAGTCCTCCACTTGAGGCAGAACCTTACACGATGCAAATTTTTACTTTTATTTAAACATTTTAAAACGTTTTTTGAGTGGGAAGCAAAACACTTTTAACTAAAAATTACGTTGTTTCCATCTAGACCCAGGGTTTCATGGCAAAATACACAAAAACATTTACATCTTAATTATTTGAGGATAATTTCTTTGGCTCTGATGGTTTTAAATACAACAATAAAGAGAATCAGTCATCTGATCTATGGTCTTTAGAAGGAAAACTAAACCAGCCAGATTAATCAAATGAAATCTTGGTAAAAGCTTTTACAAGCTCAACTGGTTGCAATAAACAAGACTTAATGTGGCAGAAAGAACAAGGAGAGAAACTGATGCAACAAATCGATTTCTTATGCAAAACTCTGTAGTTACCAAATTACTTTGAACATAAAATGATCTTTATCTGCCATATTGGACATCCAACAACATTCCCTTCTAAAACATTAAGAAGTCACATCATATCAAAGTTAAAACTCTAAAAATACAAAATGTGAGCATCCCTCTCATCCAACAGAGATAAATTAAGTGAAGTACAACTGACTCAACCTGTAAACAGAGAGTAATCATCTGTTATGTAACTCATCGTTGTCGTTTTTGTTCTGTTTGTTTGTACTTATATTTACTGGGTCGCTGAGCACAACAAGAGGCTGCGATGATGAAAATAGTTCAATCACCGGCCTTAGTCATAAAACTATGTAACTATTTGGTTTAATCACTCACAAGGTCAAAATGAAATATTTAAACTGCATTTAACACAATTTAATTTGGCCAATTAAAAATTTTCTAATGTTAGAAACAAATATATGTAATTTATTTGATACTTTTTACACATTAGCTTTATCTTGTTTATAAGTGCTTAAATAGTAAACCATTGGACTACATGTTGAGGGGTTTGGAAGACATTTCAGCTCTCTCTCCAAAGGCTTTTTCTGTTTTTACTCCTTTTGATAAGTTCCAGGCTTTAGTGGAATAATTCACACCTTGAGATTAGCTGAACAGCTGTCCAGCATGTGTCTCACTGACACATCCATCCATCCATGCCGAGAGTAATTGTCAACTTTGAGTTGTGTGAGATAAATCGAAACAATCCTGGGGTTTGAGTCAGGAACACAACTGATCTCAGCAATTTAAGGTGTGAAATGTCTGGAACGCATCACGAATCAGAACTGAAGACACCTGTCAGCTGGAAGGTGGAACATTTTCACAAATTAAGAACTATACGGTAGTTTTCTGGTGTTTGGTTTCCTCCTTGCCTCCCTGTGTTTCCAGCCACTCAGTCCCCCCCCCCCCAGTTTCTTCAGTTCTGCCACGCCCACTCACACCTGCACTCTGTCTTATTAAGATCAGCTGTTTCCCATCTCCTCAATCAGCCTCAGTCCATATATTTCCTCAGTCCGCGTTCATTTCCCCAGTTAAGCACTGTGTGTTTTACACGTCTCCCTTTGCACCTTGTATCTGTTCTGCTGCCATCTCAGACTTTTATTTGTTTTATAATGAAGTTAAGTTTTATTTTAGAGCTACTTGTTTCGGTCTGCATTCCTAGGTCCAAACCTGATGCACTTGTGACAAGTTGCTGCTCTTAAAAACTGTCAAAAGGAAACACCTAGTTGAGCTAGTTTAAAATCCGGACGGTTTTAAATAAGTTACATTTTAAAGCCGTGTGTTAGCTCATATTAGCCCAAAGACAGAAAATAAGCTACTGCACATAATGATAAAAAAAAAAAAAAACCTCTAAAATCCTTTAAGTTGTATGTTGAGGAGCAGATAAATGTTCTTACTGTTGAACAAAGCCAGAACAACTAACAATTTTATAATAATTATGCTAACCAAAACTGACAATTACTATCTGGTGTATTGAAAGTATTAAATGGCAAATGAACTGTAGTTGTATAACACCCTTCTATCTTGAATATACTCTATGAGCTTTACAACACAATCTGTGCCCTCATTTACTCATTCATACAGCACTCTATATATTCGTACAAAAAAATAAAAATCAGTGCTTTTATCCCATTCATAAACTGATGGGACACACATCGGAGGCAATGAGGTGTTCAATGTCTTGCCCAGGGACATTTCAGCATGTGATGGCTGGTGGAATCAAACTCCCATCTTTTGCATTGGAGGATGATTGCTCCAATTCTAGAATTTTAGAAAATCCTTGAATTGCACCGCTCAGGGTGGCTGCATGTTGTACATTCATTATGAGTTATTTGCTTTTAAAAACTTTAATTCTGCTTTTTTTTTTTTTTTTTTTTTTTTGTATCAGATGTTGTGCTTTTTTTTTGATTTACTTTGGGGCATTTTTTTCGTATCCATGGCAACAAGGTTTTTTTTTTCCCTTTTTTTTTTATTTACTTAAACAACCTGGAGCAGCTGATTAACATCTCAAATACATCAACTACAGCCCCAAATCCCAAATGAGGTGAAAAGGAGGCACCGTGGATGAAATCCCATCAACCTGGCAGCGGTGCTCAAGAACCTGAGTGCAGAGATCCTAGTGGTGGGAAACTTGGCTCGTGACAACAGGGCGACTGGAATCATCCCCCAGTGCCTTCAGCTGTCTGTCTGTGGTGACAAAGCTCAGCACACTGCTGGGGGGAGTGACTATTGCTCAGGAAGGAGTTCTGCCTGGCATCCAGGTGGTCCTGCTACCCAGGAGTACAGAGAGGTTCACCGGTTCTGACAGCATGCTGGATCTGGGTGGACGGATCAGGATCTGTGGCCAGATTCTTTGGATTCATTGCAGGAGGTCCTTGCTGCCCACAGCTATCAGCATCTATAACAACTCTTGAATTAGGGGAGTGGTGGTGCAGAGGTTAGAAAAGGTGGGCCTGTGATTGGAAGACCGCCGGTTCAAGCCCCGGTACTGACAACCTCAAAAATGTGGGTGGGGTAGGTGAAGCACCCACACCTGCCCCCACCCTCCTTCCCCTCACTCTGGGCCCATGAGCAAGGGCCCTGAACCCCCATTTGCTCCCTAAACAGGTCTCTCTTGAAAAATGAGTTCTCGTGGCTCAATGAGACTACCTGGATAAATAAAGGGTGTAAAAAAAAAAAAAAAAAAAAATTAAATTAAATGAAACCAGGATGATGAGCCACAACATTTAATTTCCGTTTTGGGTTTAATAAAGTGTGTTTTTTTTTTTTTTTTTTTTTTGTACTGAATAGAATTTGGAACCAGTCAGCCACAACCGCCCATAATATGAGAATTGTGCAGATAGCAATAAACAAAGGTGGCTGTCCTAGCAACATCACAATATGAAATTATTTAGGTTTTAAAGTGGCACCACAGAGTGAGGGATAGTAAAATGAAAATATACCGTATTAAAGAACACTAGACTTTTCTCAATCTCATTTCACCCGTAGTTGGATCTGTTCAGGATGTTTTGAAACCAACAGCAGCCCCAGGTCAGATGGGATTTGTGTCACTGGGTTAAAGGTACATGGCAGTTTACGGAGAAAAGCAAACTTGGTAAATATTCACTAAACTGTTGACATTTGCCCCTTGCACACAAATATTCAACATGGTCCTTTCATTGAGTGAAACAAACAAACAAACAAACAAAAAAAAGCCCCATGATTCTTATATAATAGTATAATTCTTGCTGAATAGAGGCAGTAATATGAAACTTGCTAAATTTTATTTACCAGATAATCCAAAATGTGTTCATCTTGGAGCAACAGATTGCCTTGTGCTTTGATTCTAACTACAGAATGTTATAGCAATTTTATCTTAAATGTCACAAAAACCTTTAAATGTGATTCTTCTGTTGGATGCACATCAGAGGAAACGATAACATGTATTGTAAAAACCTAACAAACCAAGAATCTGAAGATCTCGTCTGTCGTGAGAAACAAAACACTTCTGCATCACTAAAGCAGATCATGCAGGGTGTCCTACCATGGAGTGTCCCACAATGAAGACGGGAAGGTCAGGGTGGCGGGACTTCATGAGGTCGATGTGCTGCAGGGAATCCCTGATGTAAACTTGAAACTCCTTGATGACCATCCTCTCTCCTTCACTCTGACCATGACCAACTAGAAGGAATTGGAAAAAGAAGAAATGGAAGTCCTTATTGGGAAATTATAATATGAAGGAAAAACAAAACGGATGATTTAGGTTTGTTTATTTTATTTATTTGTTTGTCTGGTGTTGTGACATCCAGATTAGGGTGTTTTTTTTCAGGATAATCTCTTCCACTTGTTACCATACCATTTTATTTGTAGAGCACTTAAAACAGTGACAAGGCCAACCAAAGTGCCGACATAATAGTTAAGTTAGTTAAGACGTAAAAGTTAAGTGACAACATAATAAAAAAAGGAAGGAAGGAAAGGAAGAAAGAATGACTCGGAAGGACAAAATGGCAACAAAAGGATGAGAATCAACACAAAAGAGACAAGTGGATGAATGAGTAACAAAAGCTAATGGATAGTGTAGATAGAAAAAATAAAGAAATTCCTCCACTCCTTCGAGCAGGGTTATTCAACTAAACTGCTCAGTTTCTGAAAAGCCAACTGCTCATGGGCCGAACATCTACCAATTAAAGTCCTTATGTAAATAAACCAAGTATTGCAATGATCTAACTTTTTTAAAATTTGTTCTTTTTGCTGCATTGAAACAATAAATGCAATAAACGGAACCCAAAAGTACAGTTCAAAGAAATTACTTTTCAAGGATTATTTCCTTGCAGTAAAAGTAGTGATCATCCAATGCAGGGGTCCTCAGTCCTGGTCCTTGATGTGTTGTAGATGCTTATCTGCTTCAACACACCTGATTTTAAATAAATGAGTAACCGGCTTCTGCAGAACTTGAGGACCTACAGAGAAGCAGGGAAACGACTAAAACATGCAGGACTGTGGCACTCGAGGGCCAGGACTGAGAACCACTGGTCTAATGTGAAATAAAAATGACACACCTCCTATTGAACACAAATATATTTCTGCCATTTCTGACTTGCCAAATCTTTATGCTTTTCAAAATAAAAATAAAAATGTTGACAGTTTTTGATGTCCCCTGACTCACCAACAGGTTGCTGTTCCAGGTGGGTCCATTAAGAACCAGTTCTCATTTATGCTTGCACAGACCAGTTCTCTTTCAAACGGTTCATAAATCACAGGTGGAGCATCCATGTCCTGCTCAGGTGTGAGCGTTGAGCAGAACCAAAAGAGGCGAAGCAGAACTCAGCTGGGCTGAAAACGAGCACGAAGCGTGTACGTGCATCTTTGCGTCATTTACCATTTACTCAATCGATATCTATATTTAACTATATAAAGCTGCTGTGTGTCATCGTCAATATTCTCAAGTAATAAATCTGTTTTGTTGTGTTGTAATCCAGCTCACGGGTGATCACTGATATGATCAGTTTATTAGAACTCCCCACACAGCAGGAGCGAGGAAGAACCCCTGCAAGAGTGTGCAGCCTTTTGACCAACATCTCTGCTAATTTAATTCTTATAATTAAACATTATTAAAACTAAAGCATGGATATTTGTAGGCCCTAAATTAAAGCAAACACATGTGTCTCTGTTCAACTTTATTTTATTTTCCCTAAACTCAGTCTGTCTGTGAGAGTCCCAGAGAGACTGTGAGCTGCAAAGGATTCTGGGTAGCCTTGTGGAAATTATATGTGCAATGTTTATTTTATGACTGTAAATGGGTTGCTCTTGTTAATGTTCTGTTCAGGTTTTCTTTGGCATTTAATGTTGACATCTCTGTTATTGGCCATAAACTGACACCATGAGTCAGAAGTTGTTTCTAAGTGGCGCAAAGCACAGAGACATTAGGCAGTGAATTTCACCACTGAAGGATTAAAACACTGGATGATACCTGGCTAAGATGGGTACAGCATTGTGTAAGTCAATGCTTTGAGTGGGAAGTGGATGTTTAATAAAGCAGTGAAAAGGCAAACAATTAACATGTGTACTGAATGGATTGCCTCTCTGACTGGAATAATAACTATTTCAATTTTTTATTTTAGTATTAATGAACTCATTTGCCCGTGGACTGGAAGTGGCCTGCATACTGCCAGTTGAATAGCCCTTCCTTAGAAGAATACATATTTCTCAGTCACTGCCTTTCATGCCAGGAAAAAAAAAATCCAACAAAACTACAAAAAGAGTCTTTGAACGAATACATTTAAAGAGGGGAAAAAAAATCACTTAAGTTTTAAATTTACCAATATTTTTATTTTTATTTTTTTTAGACAATCTGAGATCATAATCAGGCCAACTTTAAATTAATGTCGACCTGACAAAGGATTCGGTGAGTGTCAGATAAAAGAAACCTCAAGTTTGTTCAGGGTGTAAATTAAAATACACAAGTATTTTATTGTGACTGAAACTTACACGAAGAAGAAAATAAAGAATGTAGTGAACCTGATCTGACCCTGATCTGACCCTGATGACCTCAAATCTATCAGATGGACAGAGACTGTTATTTCATTGATCTGAATACAGTTTGAGCCATCTGGTGACTCTCTTTCTTGAATTAATCAAGCAGAAAAGACAATTTTTATAATCATCACTGTTTTACAAATGTTTGATAATCAAATTGTGTTAGTTCACTCAATGTTTACAGGTTGAAGAGAACTACTCATTTTTATTTTACATAAACAGTAAGTAATGATTTTTATTCCTCATTCAAAGAAGAAATCAGGTTAATATGCTTTTCTTGATTTTCTGTCTGAAATGAGCCAAGTTTGTAAGTGTGTTAAAGGTCGGTTTTCGGTCAACTAAAATGTTTACCGAGAAAAATGTCATGTTTAAACTTTTTCAGAAGATAATAAGTGTGAGACTCCACGAAGTCTGAAGTCCTACAATAATCTTTCTGTTGTCACTAAAACAATCCTTGACTTATGATAACATCTTACATCACAAACCACACCTCTATTCCTGGTCCATCGACCAATCAAAAGCTCTCAAATGACCCGGAAGTCGACCCATTTAAAATGTGGCAACTTCCCAGTTCAGGTTAGAGTCTGGGAGTGAAAGAGTTGAAGGAGTTGCAAGAAGCTGAGACGCTGAGTTGCTGGAGTTTGTTGGTTGCTGTGTTGCTGCACTCAGAAATGAGTTCAACTAGAGAGCGCACAGAGTGATGGAGTTAGAGCTCTTGGATGCAGACGCGTTCAGGATGATCCAGAGACGTTTTGGAATTATAATTTCTGTTTGAACACCACGCACGACTCTCGAAGGATTTCAGCTGCTCTCAACGGAGGCGCTGAAAGAGTCTGAAGGATTCTATACCGACATTGAGTCATCGTCAACCAGGTAACAGTTTCTTCTTCGACTAAAGTGTACCGGAGGCAAGCTGAGATCTGATGGAGCGTGCACGTTCTGGTCATAACAGATTAATTCCCTCACATATCTCTGTAAGATAAATCTCCATCTTAAACTCTGCTTTCTCATGAAATCAGTACAGATATTTTAGAAATATCTGAAGCAAAGTCCTCAATCACCGCCGCGTGATTGAAGCTCATTATCTGTGAAACTTGTCTGTTATTATTTTCATGTTTTGCCAAATTAATGTAAATGTTTGATGTTAAACTTTGATTCTGAAAATAAATGACCGCATTCATTTGATGGGTCAAAGATAATAACGTCTCTCGTTCGCATTTCTGTTAAAATTCAATGCACGACATTACACAGTCAGAAAGATGAGGAACTCGTGAAAATTGTATGCATATATCTCGTATATGTCATACTACAAGAATGAAAGCTCTCAATTTGATCGAGGGCTGCCTAAGGCTGGCTGTGTGTGTGTGTGTGTGTGTGTGTGTGTGTGTGTGTGTGTGTGTGACAGAAATAGATGAAAAACTAGTCTCCACAGGGTCTTGTTCCAGTTCAGTAATTTCCTTTTTAACAGGGTAACGTTACAAAAAGTGTCACTGAGAAAACAGCTCCAATGTGAGGGGACTCAGTCTTTTTATTTATTCTGTCAGTTTTTAATTGAGATTTCCAGAGCTGGAAATACTTCCAGATTTCCACAGTTGAGACTTTATTCATCTTGTGCCGCTCAAGGTGGCTGCATGTTGGAGCAGCTCTGTTACTTTCTTTCTGAGATTTTGCTTTTGGAAACTGTAATTCCTCTTTTTCTGGATGCAAATCACATTTTTTGGATGATTATTTCCTCTGGTATCAGATGCTGTGCAGCTGGAAAGATTTTTACTGAAACTTTTTTTTTTTTTTTTAGTTTTGGACATTTGTTATGATGCGTAACCATGGCAACAAGGCAGTTTTCTACAACCAACAGCAGCTGATTAACATCTCAAAAGCTCAAATAATATCTTGACTACAACCCAAAATCTCAAATGAGTTGAAAGAATGTTCTGTGGATGCATTCTCATCTACCTGCCAGCTGTGCTCGTGTGTCTGACCACTGAGATCGTGGAACTAACAAGAAACATGGCTCATGACAGCAGAAGGACATCGTCCCTCGGCACCTACAGTTGGCTGTCCGCAGTGACTGGGAGCTCGGCAGACTGCTGGGAGGAGTGGCCATCGCTCTGGGAGGAGTTCTGACTGGCATTCGAGCGATCGTACAGCCCGGGGGAACCAAGAGGCCAACAGAGTCTGGGTGGACGGATCAGACGGCATCTGCAGCCAGTTTCTTAGGATCCACTGTGGGATGGACCTTTACAAGAGATCCTTCCTGCCTACAGCCATCAGCATCTATAACATATCTTAATGAAATGAGGATAACGAGTTATAACAAGAAATAATTTTCCTCTGGGATTAATAAAGTATATTTGAATTGAATTGTCTCTACTGGATTGTTCCCTTATCTGATGAACCAGCATGCTGAGATTTAGCAGCATAACTCTGATGCACAGTCACATGTCATCACAGTCTTGGTGTATCCAAGATCCAGTTAAGACTGCACAGTGTATTAGTGGTTGACATGGTCACCTCACACTGAGGGTTGTTAGGATATAAGCTGTTGGTATTTTGTCTTTGTGAAAATGTTGTTTTTATTCACTGGATTTTCAGGCTCCTTCCTTTAGCAACTCCTTGCCCTGAACAGAACTAATTGTATTTGGAAA